CCCCCTATAACCCCCACTACCCCCCAAAAAATTATTGTGGATTTGGGCTGCTCTCCTCAAGCCACACACAACCATGTCATTAGAAAAAAAAAATAAAAAAATTTAGGCAGTCTGCCGACCGCCGACGGGTCCACCTCCGGATCGGCCCGACTGGTAGGCGCCAAAACAACCCTGTTCTGAATTTAATTTACCTGGGGCCAGTCAGGTCAATGATGTGATCTCAAGGCCGTCGCCCTTTCAAAAAAAAAAAGAAGGAAAAAACAAAATCAACTTATGGTCATTACAGCTGTATTTGGGGTATTTTCAGTCCAGATTCACAGCAGTAATCACCATACGTTGTACTCGGGTGAAGAAGGGGTAGTATGTGGTCACTATACTAGAAAGTACTGCTGATTACCAGACATTTATTGAGATTAGTTGTGATCATGGTCTCCCTTGGAGAAGTTTGTTCTGTATGGTGTTCTACGTATAGCTACCGACTTCCACCGAACACAACACAGTGAACACACCCTCATTATGACTGCATACAACCGGAAAGATGGCTTGTATACATTCGGAAATCGGGGTGCGCTATGTTCGGGGGAAGACGGTTGTGCTCAATAAGTCATCAAAACTGGGAGCTTTGGCAAGTACCATTGGTGGTTTATTTATGTACATGCATTCTTATACAGGAGGTACACTGTGCCTTAGTTAAGGTGTAGCCTGTGTAGGAATGATTTTGTATACCATGTTTGTATGCTGGCGTGATTGATATGTGAATCCACCTACGAAGGATATCGTACATCAGTGGTTCGAGTGGGACTTCGTTCTGGTGTGATTTTCAGATTTTGTTCATTGTGTCAGAAGCACTGTTTTCTGTAGCTGTTCTTGGGCTTTTGAAAGTCTGGCGCCCACCGCAGAAATTGGAGGTTATACCACGCAATGACTTTGGTGGAGATATCTCACAAACCGTCTGGTCAAGTTTGCTCAAATAAATTCTTCAGCAAGTATGCCCTTCGTCGTGGTGGGAGCTATAACACGTCTGATTATGCGCTCTGCCCCGGCATGCATGTGTGTCTATGGGTTTTGCCTGTTCGGCACGCTGCCGTCTCTTTCAGTATTCCAGATCTGTTATGAACAGTCCAGGTTGTCTTTTCTATGGAACTACCGTCTTCACCCAAATAGAACGCCCGGTCATTATCGCTGTATGTAGACTGAAAATTGCACAAAATAGTTGAAAATACGGCTATAATGATCGGGCTTTCTATTCGGGTGAAGACGGTGCAAGAAACATGAGTATGGATGAAGCACAGAAATCCAGAATGCAAAATCACAGTGAAGTCCAAGTAGTCAAAGCCAAAGCAGATAGCACATGGAACCGAGTAACCATCCAATTGAGAATGATACAAAAGAATTGTGAGTCAATGTCCATGCCCAMCAGGGCAACACCAACAGCATAACCCAAATGTAGCTCTCTCTTKTGAATGGCGCCAGGCGCCCTATCTACTCTACAGCTATCCTACAACTACAGCAATGAAAAGCAACCAGACAACTTGACTACCAACGAGTGATGATGTCAACACCAATGCCGATCTCCACCATCACCAGGTACGTGTCCTCTTCCCCACACTCTCCCTTGTTACCCACACTGCGCCCTTCACCTCCGAAGTACCACCTTCGCCCTCACCTCCCCTGCACCCTCATGCGGCCCGGCTATGGCCGCCAGTGCTCTGCAAGCAGGCAGCGCCCTACCGCCTAGCGCTGCCCCTGTCTCTTATACACATCTAGATGTGTATAAGAGACAGGTTCTGCGCAGCGTGCCCGCATATGCCAGCATTGGCCAAGATCCCTCCTGCCTCGCCCTGCTTGCCTATATGCCAGTGCAGCATGTGGGCGGCCTCCCTTCAGCCTGTGACCGGGGCCCAGAGGCTGAAGCCAACTCGATACAGTTGGGCCCCGGGGTAAGGCAGTTGCGCCTCCTTCATGAAGGCCTGCGGCCAGATTCAGACAGTGGGCCGATTTTCCTTTTGGCATTTTCGGCCTCTCTTCCCAGCATGCAATTGTCGGCCTCACGTTCAGATGCCCAGGGCCTAACCAACTCAGAGGCCCTGGGCTTTCAGCATTTGCTGAAATCCGAGACTCGGTGCACTCCAACTAACTGGCGTGCTGCAACTGTATGGACCCCACTTCGTGAAATGTTGCACAGAGGGCTCTTGTCGATTTGCTGGCCCGCCTTCACTTAGGGCGGGCACTAGGCTTGCCGGGGCCTTAGCCCAGAACATGTACATCATGGCAAGGCCCCTAGATGAGGGCTCAATCCTCACAACGGTAGCTCTTATCCGGAGTCGGTAGACAACTTCTCTCTCAGTCACACAGATGTGGCGATTCTTGCATGAGAAACAAAAGTGCACCACAATGAGGAGGGGGAAAGCATGTGGAAAAAAAAAGAAAAGTTGCAGTCTTGTCTTCTCTCCTTGCCTTCCCTCCTCTTGTCGCTATTTTCCCACGATGGTTTTGTGAATGCGCTCTTGGTTCATCGCTACGTAACAGTTTATATTTCCACATGGCTGCGCAAATCCTGTCTCAGAGTGTTTGGAACTTTGGATGCTTGGACTTTTTTTTTTTCTTCTTTCGTTCTTTCTCTTGATGGGTTGTTCTGAAGATGGATACCTGGACTTAGAATGTTAGCATAAATAGTTGCATAAATAGTTCGAAATCTTAGGATGAATAGTGTGCTGCTGGGGCTGTGCTAATACTGTTCAGACTCCAGAGTGTATGGCATTGCCTGTGCAAAAGGACACTGCAGATGCTGTTTAGATTTAGAATGTTACAGAAATAACCAGCAGGGCCCAGCGGTGCATTATTCATGCTAACCAAGCGGGAACATACTAACATAGACATTCTATTTTTATGACCGGGTTCATTCTCGCTAGGCATGAACATAGTACCGATGGGACCTACCGCTGGTGTGACCTGCCCCTAAGATGTCTCCATTACATGTCGCGTGAACATTGTACTGGTGTGATCTGCCCCCCCAAAATATCTGCATCTTGTCACAGAGCGGGAACATAGCCATTAGCCATTTTATGTATTGTTATTCCTATAAAAAGATGAGGAGATTTACCCTATTTTTCAATGAAATGATCCAAAAATAGAATGATATCAAAATATAACATCCTAGACTTTCTATTTTACAGCCTTCATTTAACATAGTCCATAGCCATTTTTATGACTAGGTTCGTTCTTGCTAGGCACAAACAACATAGCCATTTTTATGACTAGGTTCGTTCTTGCTAGGCACGAACATAGTGTCGGTTGAACCCACCGTTTGTATGACCTGCCCGCAAAATGTCTCCTTCACATGTCGCGTGAACATAACATAGTATCGGTGTGACCTGCCCCTGTCATAAAGCAGGAACATAGCCATTTTTATGACTAGGTTCATTCTCGCGAGGCGTGAACATAGTACCACCAATGGGACCTATCGCTGGTGTGACCTGCCCCCAAGATGTCTCCATTACATGTCGCGTGAACATTGTACCGGTGTGACCTGCCCCTAAAGTATCTGCATCTTGTTGTCATCAAGCGGGAACAGAGCCATTGTTATGACTAGGTTCATTCTCCGCTAGGCATGAACATAGACTGGTGGAAACTACAAATGCACCTTGTCATACGTAAGGTGAGGGAAGTTCAGGGGCTGCTTAGAATGTCCATCGTCCCTGGATCAGCGTATCCTGTATGAAAAATGGTGGAGAGATTGTTTCTCAAGTTTCTTTTTGTTGGAACTTGGAAGTAAATTGAAGTATGCGGACTGACGCTCCCCAGAATGGATATGGAGCCAGGACCATAAGGACCTGTTTTTAATTATATAAAAAAAAGTTTAAAAAACACGTATGCGTGTTTACCATGGGTGTTGAAAGTTGGGATGTTGCATCAGCCATTGGGATTGTCTGGTTTTCCTGCGCACTTCTGTGCATGCAGCCTCCGTCATCTTTACTAGGCATCCTTTTTGTTGCTTTTTGTAGCTTTTTGCCCTTAACTAAATGCAAAACGGAATTGCATTCGTTGCCCTCTCTCTAACACCCGCTCTGTGTGTCTGTTTATGTGTACTCCAGCTTGCCGTTAGTGAACCTATATCGATCGACGCATGCAATCTCTACAGAAGCTACACAAGATCCTGCTGTGCTGGCAGGTATCTCTGACTTACTGCTGATCGGTGGTTCAGACTTCGTTCCTGCTGGCCCTGCTCAGGCTCGCACCACAGGCGTATCGGGGTTGGAAGATCTGTTCTGGGCAGGGACACCACCTGGAATGGACCTGGTACGGATTCCATCACCCCTGCTTGATGAGAACATCTCTCCTTATTTCCTGTGTGTGAAATCTCTTTCCATCTCTCCTTAGAAGCTACACAAGATCCTGCAGTGCTGGCAGTAATCTCCGACCTACTGCTCGATCGGCGGTGGTTCGGAGTTTGTTCTTGCGGGCCCTGCTCAGGCTCTCACCACTGGCGCATCGGGGTTGGAAGATCTGTTATGGGCCAAAAACACCACCTGGAATGGACCTGGTACAGTGTGTACGCAACCCACTTTTTTTGGACTTATTTTGGGCGTAGACGAATTCAGCACAATGCTCTCTCACAGTGATCTCCACCTATGCTTCATCTGGGCCGAATTGGACCTATTTTGGCTGTGTTCAGGACGCATCCACCCCACATGTGATGACATCATGGGGGACATAGAAGGGTGGGAATGTGGGAAGGGTCAAATGCATGTAGTATGTTGGATGTTGAAAAATGTGCGGTAAGTGAGTGGAGAGGCAGAGGGAGGGAGAGCGGAGGAAAGACTCACATGAACCTGCCAGGGATACAAAACACTGGCTGGCCCAACAAACGAACGGTTCACCTGCAAGATGAGACAGGAAGTTTCAAAGTCGTGGCATGGTTTGAAACTTGGTCTGGTCTGAAGCTTGGTTTGAAGCAAATTGTGTGACCTTGGTTTGAACTTTGAACCTTGGTTTGAAAATTGGTCTGAAGCTTGGTTTGAAACTTGGTCTGAAGCTTGGTTTGAACTTTGAACCTTGGTTTGAAGCAAATTGTGTGACCTTCTGTCGGTCGATTCCAGTACAACAAATTAGGGTTGGTTGGTAAACCAGGTTCCGAAATCCAGACTCACAGTAAACCAATAGCCTGGGCATGGATCTCCAAGCTAAGGTCAGCGTGCCAGCGAGGAACAGCGGCTTTACTAAGCGTGAGAGATGGAGATCAATAGCTGTTTGTGCTGAGGGATTTGAAATTTTGTATGCAAGTGCAGGCTGTCCTTGGTCATCACCCAGGGCCAGGGTCTGAGCCATCAATCATTCCACTCTCTCCGTTTGCAGCTGCTTTGTTTGAATTTGTCGTGTTTTTGAACTATAGTGTTGGTACATCTATCGCATTCCATACAGTGGGAATTCACACTAATACTC